AAACCCACCATCATGAAAAACATGAGGTTGGCTTTAATACCTGGATGAAAATCCTTTGCAGTCAATGACTGCCTGAAGTCTGGAACCCATGGACAAATGCTGAGTTTCTTCCTTCAAGATGCTTTGCCAGGCCTTAACTGCAGCTGCCTTCAGCTGGTGCTTGTTTGTGGATCTTTCTGCCTTCAGTCTTGTCTTCAGTAAGCGAAAAGCATGCTCTATTGGGTTGAGATCAGGTGACTGACTTGGCCATTGAAGAACATCCCACTTCTGGCCTCCCATCCCCTGATAATTGGCCAAATGCCAAAACAGTTATCCTTGTTCCAATATTTCTGGTCCTGACTGTGTGTGTGTAGTGTGTGTGTGTGTGTGTGTGTGTAGTATATTTCACATTGATGTGTTTGCTGTCTTGCAGATTTTATCTGCAATAGACTGAACAGAATAGACTGAATTGCAGACATATCAGCAACTGACCCAGCAACCTTACTTCCTGTATTTATTCATTTAAAAATTAGCCCACTAAAGGGAAAAGTTGGCACAAGAGATGTTCTGTAAAGGTGTGAGGTCCTCCTCTTTCTTACATTTAATCTAAAGTGTGGTATGGTAGCCAGCAAATCCAAGTTGTTTTGCCATATCGATTATTACACATTAACAGCTATAATAGGCATTCTTTTGAATCAGTGAAATAATATATACCTCTGAATCCCTAGCCTTTCCCCTTTATATTATATATTATATCAATATATGAAAGTATAATTTCTTAAGTGATGAAATAGCAAAAAGTAAAGTGCACCATGAATTGGATTCATATTAATTGCTCTGCATTATGCGTAGCTGTTTTACAGTGCTGTGCTTGTACTGTTTGATTAACAACTGCAGTCATAAGATAGATACAGAGAGCTATGTTAAGTAGTGACAATGCAAAAAACAGATCCCCCCCCCCCAAAATAACTAATCCACAGCTGTCTTTGTTTATAGGCTATATAATATTTTCACTGAGCAAACTAACTATTTTAGATATCTGGGAGATGTATTCCCTACCTCAGATAAGAAGAAGGCTCAAGTGGAAAATGCAATACTGATATTACAGAGAAGGACTGCAGCTATTTTAACATGGGCTAAGCCACCTTTAAGAATGTCATTGCTCAGATAGAATGATACCGCAATTACTCCCTTCTAGAAATAGTGCAATTTAAATTCATGAATGATTTCAGATCCTTAAGTGTGATCTTCCTCCTTACAGATGAAAGCTGGTTTAGCATTATGCCCAAACCCATAAGGTGAACGGCTGGAGGTCTCAAACCTATCCCAGAAGCTGTCTGCATCTTCACAACCTGGCCACACTTCCTGCCTTGAGTTAGTGGTGTCGTAGTTACCACTGTGATCATGTATCTTACAGTGGGTACGTCATTTGGCCTCCCATCCCCTGATAAGGCACATACAACCTATTTTTACTTTAAAAGTTTACAAAAGTACATATAGTGTTCCAGGCAGGCCACAAGATGGTGCTAGTTTGCTAACAGTGAATTTAAGATGGCTTCCAAATTATCTTACAGTTCATAAGAAATTAATAAAGAAAAAAATAAATCTTAGACATAGCCTGAAATGAAATATTAATACAATTCTCTCTTAATACAAAAGAATAAGTACAAGAAACAAGAAAGCTTGACTTGTACCACACACACACACACATGCACAACCAAGAATCTAGTGCAGTTTCCTGGTTAGACTTTTTCCAATCTCCATAGAGATAATGTTTTTCTGAAGCAAAAGTCCTTATTTATTTGGCCTTCCCATAGATTCCTGGAAACTCCACACTTTAATCAGAAACTTTTTTGGAGGATGGTAAATCCCTTTTATCCCAGCCTTAGTCCATAGATTCTTCCTCGATTATCTCTTCAAATTCTCCTCAGTTTTAAAATGATGCAAATTTTCTAACTCCAAGAGGAAGAGACTGGGGGAATCTTCTTTTGTGTATGTGATAGAGGCCATCTCTGCTCAGGATATGTGTATTCATATAGACTGGCTAACAGATAAGATGATTTCAGCTTGCTGGCTGTGAATGTGAGGATTTGCAGGCTGCATATTATAATGGCAGGTTTATGCAATAGAAAGACTTCTGCTTTGCTGGCAGTGTTTTATTTCTGGCTAAAGCTTGACTTTTTGCCCAGTAGGTTGGCTTCCCCTAATCATTTTTAATACATTTAATTGGTCTGGAAGAAGATGCGATCAGATAAACTGCTAACCTATGACTCCTCTCTGGAGCTTTTGCTGTCTGTTGATTGATCAAGCTAAGTGCTTCTTAAACATTGAGTCCTAAATGTTGGATGGCAAAATGAGTTAAATCTAGACTTTAAGGATATTTGTTCCAGGAGATTAAATCCAAGTGTACAGCTGGCTAAATCTTACTTACTTGGAATTATCCAGCCATCACAGAACCTTCTCTCAGGCTCACTTTAAGTTCTCCTGTTTTGCTTTATTGGAAGGCAGATTTACTAGGAACCCTTATGAGGAGGGTATGTCTCAGGACAGTCAAAATGGTTTGGTGATATCTTGCTTTTTTTGTGAATTTTATGGGGATTAATGTAGTAAGCTCATGCCATTTTAGTAAACTTTCCAGGTCATCAGGTAAATTCTTGTTTCCTCTTATTTTTCAATTGGCAGCTTACTACTATCTATATCATAGCTAAATTTTGCATGATGCCACTTAACTGGGACTCCAGTAAAACTAGTAATCCATCTTCTCACTAGCTGTAGTGCATAACCTTCCATTGCCTTTAGATTACCATCTGATTTATTTTATTTTAGTTTGCATTACTATTTGTACTCTACATTTTGCAAATATTTTAAAAAGCTGGCCTTTGGCCATAATAAATATTTCTGTGTATAGCTATCTCAGTTATGCTTGTTTTTGTCCATATGACTAGGCAAAAGACTTCCAAATGTTGTTAGACTGAAAGCATTCTAAAGGAAAAGACAAAATCCATCACTTGGGGGGGTACTGATATGATATGAAACAGCCAAATACATCTTCAGAGTTCTCAGTGTTTTCTTATATTCTTTTACTACAAAGACTGTCCTGCTAGCTAACTAATCCCTCATATTCCAGTTGAAGTGGCATTTCCTCCCCCAATCGTCATAATGAAGCTTTTCAAGCATTATCTTCCTCTAAAGGAAGAGACATTTGTTTTCTAAAAAAATCCTATTTTCTGTCACCCACTTTTACTGGTTTATTATATAGAATTAATTAATGCTGAATAGTTTCATACACACAGCTGTTCCAAGATGGAGAAACAGTGGGGAAAATACAAAGATGGCAGCAAAGGAAAGAGAAGGAAGGCACTAAGACAATTGGAATAAAGGGCAAGTAGGCTGGTTGGTTATGCTGCATTTTAATTTAAGCATGATGGCAAAAGCAAAAGGAGGGAGGGATGAGGGATAATTGGTGGATGGGCTGGCACATAGGACATGTGGAGGCAGAAAGAAAGTGGCAAGGAACAACAGTCTTTTCCTATTCATTGAACAAGTCAAGTCTAGAATTCATCTTGGCCAAAATCCAGAAAATCAAGAGGCTTCAGATTTTGGTATGGCCAGATCATAATACAGCCAGATCTGGTAGAGCCCACAAGCCATACTAGATGTGTTTTGTGCATGGAATAAAGCAAATTTTTCATTTCAGTCATACCTTTAGTAAGTTGTTTTGTGAAGTTTTCTTTGAAAGTGTTGTATAAACCTGTTAAATAGATAACTTAAATAATGCAAACTTAATCATAAGCAAAATTTAATTATACAAGATATATTGATATATGCAGCATTTTTTGCACAATGGAACTTTATTTAAAAATCAAAACATGAAGCATTTTATTTTAATGTGAATTGCTATTTGATAGGATTAGGAGATCCTGCTTCTTTTTACGTGGCTATGATATTTCTTCTGAATGGATTAATGGTGTCAGTTTTCTTCTTATATGGCACATACCTAAGGTAAGATGACATGATAAAAAAGGTTTGTTTGATAAATGGATAATTGTAATTATTCTGCACTTCATTAAATATGCACTAAATGTGAAAATTCATACACCAAACTTTAAGCTACTTGAGGATGCCGGAGTTTGTGGAACATATTTTTCACAATTCTTCAATTTAATTTGTGTGGGGCAGTTTGCTGTCAGAAAATTGTGGGGCTGAGGAAAATATTTTCACAGATGTATTGATTCACCCACAGAATTTCTAGCTCATAGGCTAAGACAGAATGTGTTTTTCTTATTTTTTTATGGCGAATATTTGTCTTTTCTCCCCCAGTAATTGCAATGAAAGGCAAATTTATAATACCAGTTCCAGTCTTGTGTGGGACATGATCTTGAGCTGTTCAGAGAAATGGAGAGGATAAGAATCCAAGGCAGTCTAATCTGCATTCTGGCCCTTAACACTCTTATTGTAATGTCTTCTATCAGCTGTATCTTTCTGTCTTCAAAGTTATTTGCCTTTAGAACTATCTCCACAGTGATTGCTCCTTCTACCCATAAAGATACACCTCTGTCTTATTAAAGTTCAGCTGGCTATTATATAGGAGGTTACGATTGTGGAGTTAATGACATTTCTGCTGATGCAGTGGGACTTCTCTTTTTTTTTTTATCACTCATCAATGGCATACATCTCAATTTTTTTCTGCAGTGTGTTGCCGACTTCCCAGAGCATATTTGCACATGTGCAGGTGAAGGTGAGAAGAAGATTTTACCTAGTGACAAATACTGTTCTGCAGTAGACAGACACTTTTGCATATAACTCCTTGTCATTTCAAGATAAAAAAATAATACAAAAGCAAAATATTACTACCTTTTAACATGATTTGATAATCCTTTCACACTAGCACTTTACTTTTTGTTATTTGGTTTGACTCAGAGCTGTCACATTATTACTGTTTTTGATCATAATTATTTCATTAAATATCAGTTTAATTAAGCTCTAAGATATTAACCCAAATTTCGGTCCTTTTTTTATCAAATGAAAAACATGTCTCTTTATTTTCTTTAAGTCTGAGTGACATTTTTACTGCTTGGTATTTAATAAGTATGTTGAAACAATTCTGCTCATAGTAGAAAAAGTATCATGGGACTAAGTAAAAAAAAGTTCAATAGTTTTTATAGTATTCGAGAATATACCTGCATTATTCTTGCATTTCTCTTTGTAGTTCAGTTATTACAGTTCATTATCTCTTTTTGATTAAGCCACATTCACCCTCCCCTAAAAACTCTGTACCCCTTAAACCATTCTCAGCACTATCTTTTCTGTTGGTAGACTCATTCACATATAGGTAGTTCTTGCTTACTGACCATTTGTTCAGCATCCGTTTGAAGTTACAACAGTACTGAAAAAATAACTTTATGGCCCATTTATGACCATTTTTGACCTTCACAGCATCCCTCTGTCATGTGATTGCCATTATAGTCAGTATGCATTGTCCTGTGCCTGACCTGTGGTTTCTTCTTTCTTTCCTCCCTTGCTGTCAGGTTTAACCCAAGAAACTCCAAGAGACAATGCAAAATCAGTTCAGCTCTGTTTATTAGCTACAACCTCTAGCAAGAATCTTCCCAGACTGAAACCCCAGCTCCCAAGCCAGCCAGCCAGCCACAACACCGTGAATTCCTCAGGGAGGTGCCAGCCTCATCCTCTTGTAGTTCCCACGCTCTTTCGGTGATCTAAGAAAACGCTTATCTCCCTGAGCCTGGCCTTCATAATTCCATTCCATCACACTTGCAGAGCAGAGAGATTTGAGAGAGGGATAGTAAGCTGTTTTCTCTTCTACACATTGAAAGCAGTGTGATTGCACTTGTAGCAGGAAAGTGTCAGGCAAAGGAAAGATTGCCTACAGACATTGCTTTTTTTCCCCCTCCCCTGCGCCCAGAGCAGAGAGATTGGAGACAAAGAGATTTCAGGAGAGTAACTTGTTTGTGTAGCATGCCTGGCTCCCAGCCCCAGGCTATGGCTCCAACACATTGCTTTCATTGTGTACAAGACAATAAGCAGGCACTTCAGCATTACAAAGGGCAGGGTAGTAATTAGGAGGCAAACAAAAGCTGAAGGTGTGAAACTGAGTAGTCTTGTTTCTTTCCAGCCAAAAAGCACAGTCACAGTCATGTGATTTTCTACTTAGCAACCACTTTGCTGTTGTTGGTCCCAATTAGGGTAGTTAAGCGAGGACTACTTGTAGTTGAACATTTCTGCATGTAGGTATTCTTCAGATAGGAAATAACAAGGGAGTTTGAAACATTTTGAACTTGAAGCACACTATTTCAAATTCAAAGCAGTTGTTTCAAATTCAAAGCAAATTATTCCAACTTAGTTGGCAAGTATTCTGATGCTGTTCTAACTGTTATACTATACAGAGTCATTTTGAGGTTGAACCACTTGAATGATTAGAAATAACATCAAGCATTGGTAAGAGCAGAACATTCTCTTTTGAACTGAAAACATGGTGTTTCAAGCTTGAAAGCACAACACTAAAATGTTTTAATATAGATTAAATTGTAATGTGATATGTTTTACTTGCATAAAAATAATTAACAGAATATATCTTGTAACTCATAGGTAATTGTACCTTCTGTGTAAGTGTTTTGAAGTGTGCTAAATAACCTGTGGTTTCATATTTGTATAGTTATGATGGAAGTTTATATTTGCCTAAAGTCCCAGGGGTGGTCAGGCTAAAATTACTGTCAGGACACGTTTATATCAAAAATATGCATTAGAGTCAACAATGAAAACTCAGAAATTCATTCTTTTGCTTCTGAATTGTAGGTCATGATTCTAATATGTGACTATAATAGAGACTTTCATTCAGACAGTTGCACTAACTGAGGCTAAAATTTAACGCTACAGAAAGAAAGTCCACACATCTATCTTTTTTTAAAAAATGATTCTTGATACTGAAGGCCTATTGTGTATGGCTTTTCATAATATATCTAGTTACATTTTTCACTTTGCTCTTATGCAATAGAAGTATTAATATTTTCTGGGTCGAGGTGGTAGGTGAAAACTACCACCTCCTTAGTATATGTCTAAAAGTATATCAAGTTTGTTCATTTATAGTTTTAAATTACACAAGTTCCTTTCCTCTTGTATTTGGGTAATTTATCATAATTGACTAAACTTTTCACATATTTGAAAACTTCAGCAGTTTAATTGCTAAACATATTTAAAAGCTTCAACATATACCTGGATTTAGGAATGATAACATTATAAATATTCTAAAATGTTGTATGCCTCTTGAAGTTTAGAGCTTGCTATTTGGTTTGTTGGGGGGAAAAAAGCATGTTTTTTCTCTTTTTGAACCAAAATTGTTAAATTTGTATTCTGTAAATTTTATCTAATGATAGAAAGACATATTTGTAAAATACAAATTTAACACCAAAATACCTAACTGCCATTTATATACTTAGATTTAACATATGCGCTATAAATGCAATTTATTTCTTTAATTGTGCAATAAGCACCATAAATTTCCTGGGTTTTTTTTATGATGCTTCTAATTATCCCCTAGGTGGCAGTATTTGAAAAACAACTGGTTTGATTTTTTGAGAGATTAATTATTAATTTGAAACTATGATAGTTTTGAAAACACAGTATCTCTATACTGCTTTTGTTGTTTTCCAAAAACAGTTTGGTTTTGGAAGCATACAATTTCATAAAGAAAGAAACTTAAAAGAAGTACAACTTAATATGAATGAAGACTATTAGCATCTTTAGAGGACCACAAATAAGATTAATCAGTTCAATACCTATGAAAAGAACTGTATTTTTTTATATACATATTACCCAGAACTCTTCTATAAACTGGAAGAAGCAAGCAACAGTCTTCAAGGCTGAAAAAGACAAAATAAAAGCAAAAAACCCTACAAAACTCATGCTATATAATTTTCATGAGTCAGATAGGGTCCTAAACTTCTTGTCTTGTGACAATACTTGATACCTTCCCTAGCTTATGTAAATGCTTTTAGGACATCAAGTCTTTTCTTGGTGAATTGAGGCAGAGGTGAATAAGAACCAGCAAACAGAATCTAGCTTAAATAAAAATAGAATCTGTTACCAACAAATAGTGTTGCATTGTATCTGTGCCATTGGGAGCCACACCATCATTTACTTCCATCCTCTCAGAAGTTACCACATCAGATCTGTTGCAGCTTTTAGCTATTTCAGGATGAGACAACAGGTCCTACTTCAAAATGCAGCATGACCGCAATATATATTGCATATGTGCATGAAAGAATGGGAGATAGGGAATAATAGTGAGAACTATTTTTAGTTTATTTTAAGAATGTAAGAAAGCCTTGCTGAACAAATTATAAGCCCTTGTTGTCTAGTATTCTCCATCGTACAGTGGCCAACAACTGCTGGCAGCAAATTATTCATAAAGTATTTCCTGTTGACAGTCTTAAATCTATCTGCATTTAGGTTCAGCATGTGACCTCAGATTTTACCATTGTATGTGACAGAAAAAAATTAACTTAACCCAATCTGTAAATAAAGATCTAATTCTTTGAAATCATGGATTAAAAATTAGCTTACTTACTAGAATATGTAGGAATAAATGCATTGTGCAGAAAATAGTGTTGTGGACCATCAAGAAACTATGATATACAGGAATTCAAACTTCCCCTCATTTTTCTTACTTGCACTTTATAAACTGGTGTTCCAGGTTTGTGAAAATCATTACAGCTTTACAAATAGATGATGATACTGTGGCATATTTCAAGAATATTCTTGTTCTATTCACATGTAGAAAGTACAGGTATTTCCCAGTTAATGATGGTAATTGGGACTGGAATTTCCATTACTAAGTGATGCAGCTGTAAAACGTGATGTCATGTGACTGCATCACTTAGCAACAGCAATCCCTGCAGTTCCCGTTGACATCGTTTGAAGGTCATTAAGAAAGGACCTCCTTGCAATTTCCTGCCGGCTTCCAACAACCAAAGTCAGTTGGGAAGCCAGCAGAAAGTTGTAAGTCCCAGGTGGCTTGCTAGGAGCCTGGTAGGCAGGTAAGTGGCTGCTGCTGGATGGGAGAGGGAGCATGGGGGTGCATAGGTGGCTGGGGAGGTGCAGTGTGAATGTGGCAGCACTTGGGTGGCGGCTGCCTGGCAGGGGAGGCTGCATGCAGGTACATGGGTGGCCAGTGAGATGTGGCGTGAGTGCAGCAAGGCTCAGGGAGGGTGCATGGGTGGCCAGGGAGGAGCAGCGTGAGCACAATGTGGCTTGGGGAGAGTGTGCGAGTGGCTGGGGAGGTGTGCCAGTGCAGCGGGGTGGCTGCTTCCAGGAGGGGGAGTGCTCAAGGGCATACCGGCGGCCGGTGAGGTGCAGCACAAGCACAGATGGGCTAGGGGAGGGTGTGTGGGTGGGAGAGATTTACCCAAGTGACTTGAGAACTTCTGTGCCAGCTTCCCCATTGACTCAGCTTGTGGGAAGCCAGCAGGGAAGGTTGCAAATAGTGATGATGTGACCGTGGGACACTGCAGCCATTGTATGCGTGAGCTGCTTGCCAAGCTCCCAGATCACGATTGCATGCTTGCAAGGGTGCTGAGATGGCCGAAACTTCGAGGACCAATCGTAACTACCACTCAGTCAGCCCCTTTGTAACTTTGAACAATTACTACCTGAAATTACCATATTTTTCTGTCAATAAGATGGCC